TCCCCATACTGAAAGTATTCCACATACATTTTTCTCCTGGCTATCAGTGCTGGGGAGGACCTATCCCCTTCTATGGTGCATCTAGTGGCAACCAGTAATTCTGTCATCAGAGTGAGCCAAAAACTCTCTCTGGAGAGTAGCCCAGTGGAGTCTGTGCTGCTGTAAGGTACCTCATTTACAGAGAGAAAGGCATCTCCCCCCTCCCATTCTCTCCAGGCATTTATGTCTCCATTTTGGATGTATTTTCCTTAAATTGGATCAACTGGTGTTACTGTTTCATAACTACTTTCTAGAAATGGTGGCACAGAGGAGAGTTTAGTACTCTGCACATTGGACTATTATTCCTAAATAAAATTCGATTTGAGACCTTCTCCCCCCAGAAAAGGAGAGCATTCCTCACTTGTTCCACTGGGAACACTTTGTTAAACTCCGACTCCTTCAGATGGCCCTTCCCACAATCTGTTTCTCTTCAGGAACTCAGCGTTTCACTGTGAGATCTGGTTTAATGCTTTACTTACAGACTCTTCCCAGTGAACCAAACCTCATGAACCCTGCACAGAACTAATTTCCACTCCCTTCTCACACATTCTGTGTTGACCCACCTGACCTTGGATCACCTGGATCACCCGGAAGCACCAGGTAATCTCACCTGAGGCCAATTCTTTACCCGGAGAGAGCTCAGGGTAACTGTCCCATCGTGCTGATCTCAGCCTGGGAGATCAGAAGCCCCTTTTGCTGCAGCAGCTCCCCAACCCCACACCACCAGTTCAGCCCTTCCATCCCACCACTGCACCATCCCACGCTCCAAGCAATTAAAAATCCTGCTGTGAATTTATGCAGTTAACACAATTCTTGGCTACCACACAGAAGACTCCCTGATGTACAAAGGCTCTCCTCCCACCCCTCCCATCACAGCATGAAGGGCACCACACTGGCATCCTCTTCCTCTCCAACCCCAGCTAAAAAAAGAAAATGCACAGCAGATGTTGGAATTTTTAACCCCACCATGACGGGAGCCTCAGCTCATGGGAAGTCAATGCCACTGTCTGCCCTGAAAAAGCCCCCTGAACAAGCTTCCCTGAACAAGCTTCCCTGAACAAGCCTCTGCACTGGGGTGCAAGTGGAAAATTCCATCTTTCCCACAGTGCCAGCAGGGATGAGAGGATGGGGCAGGCTCAGCACAAGGAGTGACACTGAGCTGGCTCCTCCAGCTGCAGATGCCAGGGGACATCAGGCAGGACCCTCGAAGGGGGGGAGCTCATTTGAAAGGGCTCCAAAGCCCTGGAACAGTCCCACACGCTGCCTGCTCTTTGGAGGGAAGATGCAAGAGAAAGAATTGTGCCTTAGAAGACAAAAGGCTCAAGTCTGTGACTTCAGTTTCACATCATTGAAACTGGATATAATTAAATCCTGCTTTTCAAGAGATGTTCAATTCCAAAATTAATGTCTCTGGGATGCAGAGAACACTGAAAGTGTGAATACACTTTTTATTTAACCTCAAAATCTATTTTTACTCCAGAATCCTAATGCTCCACGACTGGAACTTTCTCTTCCTGCCAGCATGGCCGGGACCAATGGAAAGATGAAGAAAATAAAGGTAAATGAATGGGAATAACAGCTCCCCAGGTGTGAGGCAGGTCTGCAGAGGGAGTCTGTCTGCAGGGAGCTGTCTCCTCAGCAGCCCCTCCTGAGGGAACAGGAGGAGCAGGGCACAGCCCAGCTCTTCCCTCAGTCTCTGCCACGACAGAGGCCCCATGACCAGGACCTTTGCAGGGCAGGCCCTGATGCCCTGTTGTTAAAGCATTATTGTAGCATGGCCCTTATTCCAGCTTTAACCTCCAGGGATGATCCAAACCATGAAATATGTCTGAAATCTGCTTCTGTCCTGAATCACCAGAGTGAACAGAAAGATAGAGAAATAAAGGTGAATGCAGGTCTGTTTGTGGTAACTTGGGGGTAAGGTGAGAATTCTGGCCCATTGGGGGTACCAGCTCCCTCTCCCATGACAGGGGTGCCCTGCTCTGGTCCTGCAGTGGGAGGAGAAGGAGCAAGGCCCCAGCTGAGCAATCCAATGCCTTTTCCCCATGCCAGGCTCACAGAGGAATGCTGGCATGGACTGCATTCCATGCACTGATCCACATACGTGTATTTTTTACATACAAAGACATTGTAAAATACCCCCTCCCTGGTGCAGAAAGGGAACAGTTTAAAATATTAGGCAAAAACATCACTCTGACCCATCAGCTGCTGTTTCAACTCTATGTGATGCACATTCCAGTCAAAAGAAAACCTGATGTTTCTTTCTGTAATAGGCTTATTCCAATTTCCAGCAAACACACAGAACAACATCTCTTCTTGCTTCCAGTGGCTCATTTGACCTTGCTCAGTCTCTGGGATCACTGGATCTCCCAAGGAATACAACAGCAGAGTGCAGAGAGGTCAGATTTCACAGAGGCAGGACTAAGTAACCTGCAAAGCCAAGCAGAACACACATTGTTCAGGCAGGTCACAGCAAGGCCATTTCCATCTTGGGGAACACACCAATAATCTGAGTTTTTACACATGTAGAATCAGATGCCCCAAGCCTGCTGTAATTCTTTATTAGCTTTGCAGCTGTTGTCTTCCTCATGAGTTTATGGGCTTGCACAGCTCTTGGGTAGCTGTTCTTAATTCACCTCAGCCAGGCAAAGGGTGGGGTGGCCACAAAGAAGCAAAGGGAATAAACAAAAGCTACACAACTCACGGGTTAGAAATGGAGAAGGAAAAGTTAAAACATTTTTTTAAAAAAAAAGGCTGTTCAAGAGGGAATTCAGGAAAGTTATTGCTGTTTTAAGAAATTATAAGGGGCCATAAAGGTACAGCCCAGGCCTGAACTCTTTCCACTGAGACCTCTTTTGCACATGGATACACTCACTCATTATCTGTCCAGGTTACTCACCCAAATAAAGGGGGAGCAGCATTCCTGGAGATGGGGACTGGGCCTTTTAGGACCTAGACTAGTTGAAGGAGACCAAAATTCCAGTCCAAAGCCATTGCAACCCGATGAAAGCACATCCTTGCTGGTGAGTGGGGCTGTGCTGGTGTGTCTGCTCAGGTCCAAGCACGAGCACTGCCCCACCAGACAAAGCAAAAGCCACAGTGCAGCTGCTGCTAAACCTGACAGGGTGAACACTGTGGGCTGGGAAGAGCTAAAAAAAACATTCCTCTGGTTATTTGGGAAGCAGAAAATGTGACATTACCTACTGTAATCCTTTCCTTTGCTTTGACCAGTTGCTCCAAGCAACATTTTCCCAAACTTTTTGAACAGCTACTGGGCACAGTGCTGATGGAGATGCCTTTTTTCCTTACGTAGCATTTTCCTCATAATAGTATGCAAAGCCTCCCCTAAAACTTTCTTCATCAATTACCTGCCTAGAAAATGAAGAGTTGGTGTTACAGACTGCCAGACTGTTAATATGATTGACTGTGGCTGGTTTTAGTCAGCAAAAGGTCTCCAAGTAACAAATGACTTGTCCATTTGTTCTCTAACAAGAAGGGCTGTCAAGGCCTGAATATCATTTATGCTCAATCAAATCCTAATGCTGATGGAAAACTCTGGCTTTTGGTGACTCTTGATGTGCCCCACTGGGGCTTGGAGAAATGTATCCCCACTTAACATGTCCATGGATAATGGATCTGAGAGCCTTCAGCTCATGGCTCCTTCGGGCCAGGCCTGGAGCTGTAAGGTATGAATTAACTGAGATGACAAATTGCATAAACATGTGTTTCTCAGTTGGCACTTCCCTGCTAAATGCTTATGAAACTGTGAACTATGGAAAACAAAAGATGGATGGAAGAAGATCTCTTTTTACAAAATTATTTTTATAGGAAAAAATCCCTAAAGAAAAGCTTGATGTGTGCAAGCTCACAGATATTCCTTATTTTACAGCTGGGGAACAGCAGGAACTTTTCCCTGCTAATGAGACTTTATGATCTCGGATACAGAAAGATTTGCACTTTATTATCAATAAGAAAGTCCAAATTCAAGAAGTGACTTGAAATGGTAGAGACTGGCCTGGGGATATAGTGAATACAGAACATTTCCTCTCACCATACAGGTGGTGTTTACACGATTTTTAGATGCAGTTCAAACAAATCTTTTACAATATAATAAAATCATTGACTAAGGCAGAAAAAGCCATAAGATTTGATTTCTCCATTTTTTTTCTTTGTGTACACACTGGTCAAAATAAGATTGACTATAGAAAAGGACAGATTATTATTTTGCCAAGAATGGGTCAGATGATCCTTGAGGTCCCCTCCAACCTGGGATTGTAGGATTATTAAACTGCAGTGTAGCTGACATCAGTATATTGTAACTATGCTCTTCCTTTAAAACATTTTGCAGAATAATTAGAGCTGGAACAAAGGGAGCTCAGAAAATTGCAACACTAGAGATTTTTTTGTTTTTTTGGGAGAAAAAAAAAAAGAGCTGCAAGGAAGTTCTGATATTCCTTCTAAATTCTAACAAATACTTTGATTATACTACACTTTGCCAGATCTGGCCTCCAACTTTGGATTTCATCCAGTTTCCTGAAGAACGAGAGGAAATCCAGCACAAAACTTTGGTTGTGCTCTTTTCTAAATGGCAAAATACAACCCACCAATTTCACTGGCCTTTCCCTCTGTGTCGTTCAGCAACACAACTGAAGGAATTTTCCTGAAGCAGAGAAGCAACTGCCCTTTCTGTCTGTTTAAAATTGACTCAGTGGCACACCCAAGCTTTACAATAAGGAGCAGTAAAGATTATTTCATTATTTCCATTTGGATATTCCTTTAAGAATTCCAAAGCAGTGAATCTGCAGTTCTATATAGCAGAATGAGGAACAGAGGAGCCTCAGCACCTATAAAGAAAACTACTAAAAATGGCAATGTGAGCTTTTACCCCGAAGTGTAACATTCTGTGAAGGCCTCAGTCTTTAGCATGTGAGGAGTTCCTACTAAAGCAAGATTCATCCATCTTTTTCACTGGAGGAGTTTTCTTTTATTTATATATATTTTAAGGCAACATATTATGAAAGTTGGAAGGAAGAGAATAATCCCAGGAGGTGGGTTGACCATCAGTGTCCACGTACGGCCCCGACACAGCATCTCAGCCCCAGGGAAGGCTCTGGCTGAGCCAAGCCACGACTTTGTGTCAGCAAGAGAAAGCCCTCAAAGCTTTTTTCCCCAATGCTCCCACGTGAACATCTTCCCTCTCTAGTGCAATACCCTGCAGAGGCGACTACACCTAAAAACAATGGCTAGGAAAAGGTTCCAGCATTCAGCACAAGGCATGTGCTGCCTTCCAACCCTTCCTTCGTTGGCTGGCAAATGATGATGCACAGAACTGCATAAGGAAACAAAACATCAAAAGATAAAAATTAACTTAATTTACACAACCAATAAAAAAGTTTAAAGCAATGATAGAAAAATAATATAAAGGCTAGATACATTAAATGCCAGTTCAACAGTATTAAGCTTTGGTAGAACAGGTAAAGAGCATAGCACCAATCAAATCCCACGTCAGCACAGGCCTCAGTACGCATGAGCCGTGATGAAGATGTAAATTTTGGCAAGAAAAGTGGTGTATGTTCCCTGGCGCCACAGTTTCATCTCCACGTCCAACAGGAAGTCTTTGGGCTCCTTGACTTGGCGCTGCAGGTACACGATGCCGGTGTAGGAGTTGAGCCTGCGGGTGCTGAAGTAGCCCTCCTCGTTGCCCTGGGTGATGGTGAGGATGATGTTGTCCCCGGCGTAGGCAGGGGAGGGGCCGATCCGGAAAATGTGGGCTGGGACCACGATGTTGGTCTGGAAGTTGAGCTGGTAGTAGGTGATTCTCACCGGGGTGTTCTGGCAGTCCAGGTAGTTAAAGCAGCTGATGCGTTCACACCTCCTGGGGAATGAGACAGGGAGAGCCTTCAGTGTCCAGGGGACAGCAGGGAAAATGCATTTACCTCAGAGTGCTGCCAAATATCAGCTAGACCACAGTCCCAAACTTCAGAGTGTTATTAACAGGGATAGCACCCAGGGAATGGACTGTCAGGGCAGGGTCAGGATGGATCTCAGCAAAAGGTTCTTCCCCCAGAGGCTGGTTGGGCACTGCCCAGGCTCCCCAGGGCAGTGGGCACAGCCCCAAGGCTGCCAGAGCTCCAGGAGGGTTTGGCTGATCCTCTGGGGCACAGGGGGTGACTCTTGGGGATGGGCCTGTGCAGGGCCAGGGGTCGGACTGGATGATCCTTGTGGGTCCCTTCCAGCCCAGCATATCCTGTGATTATCCTTGTTCTGCTTTTCCAGTGTCCATAAAGCATTTGTAAATTATGTAACTGTACTGTAGTGTCAGGAAAAGATCACGGACATGGGGAGCTGCATTGGGAAGCTCCACAGCAAAGAAAGAGCCAGTCGTGCTGCAAAGCATGAGCTTGGAAGAGGAGTCAGTGGTTCCTCACTGACAGCACAGGGCTGGGACAATGCTCCAAGAAAATAAGACTAAAAACTCTTGAAAAGATAGCTGAAACATGGGGCTGGGAAAGAAGCTCCTCAACTGGCAAAGCAGCTTAATTCTGTAAGGCAGGAAAAGTATTTTTTTAAGCATAAGCAACTAAATATGGGTTCCCAAAGCACTGGCAGATACTAAGGCAGGAAGAGGGAAGGGATATTTTGGGGCTCCCATGCTCCTCAGCAGCTGGGGGTGTGCCCTTCCCAGAGCCCTGTGGCCTGGCAAGCTCAGTATCCTGCTCCCCTCCAATGTTTCAGCAGCCCCTGAGGAACTGCAATCTGAACATTAACCAGGGAGCCCCAAACCCACTGTAAAAGTGGAGCTCTGAGCAGCCTGGCTGCTGTGATAGAAGCAGCATAAAAGATCTTACTTTTTTAGAACTAACTTATAAGCAGAGCCCTTTCAGAGCTGCAACAAGGAGAGCTCCAGGCTCTGGTGCTTGCTGTTCCAGCAGCAGCTGGGGAGCAAACAGGGGCTCCAGGGCTTGGAAGAAGGAAGGATAACCAGACACAAACTACATGGGGAATGTTTATGTGCTCCAGGTACTAAAGCAGTTTCTCAGAGCTCTGAGCATCTACACCCACCCACAAACTAAGCACTACAGGACTGGCCTGGTTGCTGGTGTTGTTCCAAAGGCCACACTCACATGTCAGACACTTTTCTGTAGTTGGAAGGGCACTCGAAGGACAGGCAGCGGAAGCTGCCCTGGATGTTGTAGCAGGTCTCTGTAGTTGAGCAGTTATGGGTTCCTATTGCACACTCATCAATATCTAAGAAGAAACACAAGAAAAAGGCATTCTAAGTTCAAAAGTGAGAATTAATCACAGTTGATGGGCTGTGATTTGCTTATGAGACTGTGTGCCTGAGGAGTCTGTGGGTTTGGCTCTACAAGCCGAGGGCTCTCGTCCTCACCCCCCAGTCACTGTGTGTCACCTCCACAGTACCTGTGCCCCAGACCAGGGCTCTGGGAACCCCCCAGGGCACACCTGGGGTGGGAAATGCACACCCAGGTGAGGTGTGTCAGGTCCATCTCTGTGCACAGACACTCACTGGCATTTGCAGTGACAGAATAAACCACGGTGATGCCAATTCTGACAAAATTCTTCAATGTCTAAAAATGTCTTCTATGGAAAAAACCTCCTTCCTTGACAATACCAGGCAATAAGAGATAACAGACCCACCTGGCAGCATGTGCAGTAAACAAGGGAGCCCACTCTTCCCTACAAGCAGCTTGTGACACTTTCCATGGTGTTTGACAGTCTCTCTGCTTGGCAGAAAGAGTCCACCCAGCACATGACCATGCTGGCCTTCTGCTGCAGGGGAACTGTGTTTCTTTACCTGTACTTTAGAACCACTGGCACACTCCTGTAACCCACCTGTCCTCATCCACACACAGCTGACCAACACAGGGTTTTACTTTCCATGGAGAATAAACACGAGAAGGGAAAAAAGTTCGCAAACCCAGAGATCCCACTTCCCACTGCAAGAAAGAGCAAGCATGAACACCTAGACAGATTTGCTTGTGTAGCCACGTTGTCCCTGCTCCCGAGGTGTCAGAGATGTAACTAATATTAAAGCCAGGCTGGAGGCAAACAGAATTAAGTGAGTAGGTAGCAGCAGTCTAAGGCAGCGGAACCCTGGAAGTCCCAGACCAGCCCACAGCTGTATAAGCTTCTCCCAGCTCTTCTGATGGATGAGAGCTTTTCGTTTCCTGAAAGTGATGGGCCAATTTTTACAGCTCCACAGGTCACTGGGACTCCCTGAACCAGCCCAGTTTCACACTTAGAGCTTGCCTGGGTCCCGTGAGGGGTCTCCAAGCCAACGAGGTGCTCCTGCTCCGTTCAGCAGGTGAGGGCAGTGCAGTGTGTCAGCTCCAGGGCTGGGGAAGCAGCCAAATGCTTTCCAACAGCAGGGCCACAGACTTGGGCATGGTGTGGGCACTGTGGGCAAGCCCTGGAGCACGAGGGACAGTCCTTGAAGAAAGGAGGCCATGTCTATAAATCCCTCACTCACTGCAGAACCTGTGAGAGAGCGATGGCTCCTTCCCATGGATGAGGCTGCACAGGGTCCACGAGGAAACAAACACCCCATCACCCAGCTGAGAGTGGCCTTCCCCTCCCCAGAGCAAACACACTCTGGTGTGCATGGATACCCTCTGTCTGACTCCACATTAACCATTCACAGCCTAGTGCACAAAAGCTATCCCTCAGGAATAAACAGATCCTGTCAGGATAGAACCAACCCATGCTAAGGCCAACAGGACCTTCTCACTGACTTTTTGAGAAGGGATAAACTTGGGCTGTGTCAGAAGAATTATCTGTGCGTGAACGTTGCTCTGGATGAAAGCAGAGCAACCAAATTAAACCTGGATTTAAGGCAAGCAAATCCAAAGCAAAGTTCTCACTGCACAATCCAGGAGATGGGAGCTCTACCAGGGCACTGTGAAACATGGGAACTCAGGAACAACACTTCAGAACAAGGCACACAGTTTTGAACATTTAAGATATATACATAAATATCTCCCCACAATGAGATGTAATTACAGAAGGCAGTAAAGAACATTTAAAGCTCAGAGACACTTTATGGCCCAGAGCATAAACGTGGTTACCTAAATAACACATATCCACAAGCCCAAGCCATGGGCCTTAAAATGCTGAAAAACAGATGCAGCATCAAGGATCCAGCTTGAGCAGCCAACATTGGCAAAGATCATCTCCCAGTCACATTGTGTACTCCCAAAAGTCTAGACAATGCACGGAGGCTTTAAAATGAAATAAATGCTAACAGACAAGGCATGTGGACTGTGCAGGGCCCTGCAGCTCTGCCAATTGTCACAGAAGAGACAGACTCCTAGAGGGAAACTATAACCTCCCACTCCCTCCATTCCCCTGGGATGAGAACTGATCTCATACACTGAACTGGTTGGTTTAAAAGTCTTGCAAGGAAAAGTATACAATAGGAAGTAGGAGAGAATCAAAGCAAAGTAAATCCCTTGCTGATTCGGAGCAGTGCCCCTAAGGTGAAAAGAAAATTTCTTCCACATTGCAATCGTTGTCATGAAAGCACTCCCTCCCTGCACCACTTTGGCTGCACTGCAAAATACCACAGGCAGTTCCTCCAAAAAAGATCCATATGTTGAGACAGTGTTCCATGAGATACAGCTCGTCTGTTTGAAACTAAAGGTACAAAGAATGTGCCACCAGTAACTCCGAAGAACTGGTCAGACGATGAGTAACTGGAGCCAGACCTTTAGCTGGTGGAAACCAAGATTATCTCCTTGAGCTTAGCACAGCCAACATCAATTCAGTGTTTCTCTGACCATGTTTTCAGAAAGAGCTCAATATCTAAGCCTGCCCTAACTTGTAATACAGACTTGCAGAGCTCAAAAACAGGGAATGTGTCTGGGGGGCTCCTTCCAGAGCCTGACTAAACTGCAGCTCCAGAGCTGTTGAGTTTTGCACGTAGAACAACTTCACCCTCCAAGGAGGTGCCTGGACCAGGTGCCAGAGACACTCGGAAATGCCCTTCCAAGGTTTTCTGTTTGGGCAAGTTGTGCACTGGGAAGCCTCTCCACACAGGTGAGGGTCGTGCAGGGAGGGTTCCACCACACAGACAACCCAAGTGCAGGTCTGGGTGGATGTCCCTGCCCTCTGCCTCCAGCACACTGGGTGCCTGTGGGAGAGCCGTGCTGGCTCAGGAACACAGTGACTCACACTATTAACTCTGCAATACATTCTCAGCCCAAATCTCACTGCTGGCAGAGGTGGCAACTAACATGCCAGCACTCAAAGTTAGGAGGAAAATACAAACCAAGCCTGTGGAGAGTTACAGCTGCAGTTTTCTAAAGGTGAATTTTTACATAAGAATTTAAATGCACATGGATACCACTGCATTTATACTTAAAAACACATTCTAAAAAATATTTTAAACTTTTTTTAAAGGATTTTAATTGTCATTTAATCTGCTTCCCTGCTCCAAAGTCAGGATTAAGTACACACATGCTGCTCATGATTTACACAATGCAAATTCGTTGCCATTACCGCCAAGAATTCAAGCCTAGGAGATACATAACCAAAAGTTATATGAAGGGTTCCTGAAAACTAAGGGCAGGAAATGCCTGGTAGTTAATGTAACCACTGCAGGAATGTGTGCAGTGTGTGCAAAGGTAATCAGATCTTCCATCATCATTACACAGGCAGGGCATCCTTTGGAAATGGGGGTTCAGCTCAGAACCAGACAGCTGTGCACCAGATGAAAACCACCACACTCCCAGCAGGCATTTCTATGGTTCTGGAGAAAAGGGGGGTGTGAGGGGAGGGTACTTGTCGTTGCACTAACATTTCCTCATGCCAACATAATTAAGGTGACAAACTGCTGGATGACCAAGTTCCCATTACAGCTCCAACATTTAATCTCCCAGTTTTCTGGGGCAGAAAACTGCAACTCATAATGAAGGCACAGATTTCTACACCTGGCCCCTCTAAAAGCCCAGATCATTCAGTGCTGTGCCAAGGTGCACACACAGCTCACACGAGTAATCCAGTGCTCCAGCTGGAAGGATGACATGGGCTCCCTTGGGAATTCATTTAAGCAATTCCCTCACATATGCAGCCCAGTTGCCACAGCACTTTCTTGTAACACAGGAGAGAGCTGTCTTTGCAGATACCAATATCTGGCAACTTTGTCAAAAACTGGCTTGTTAATAGTGACTGAAACATGGAGGCTTGACTGAATAACCATAATGGCTCGTTCCAAGGATTAAAGCCTCATGATATATAATCTTGCAGTCCCCTCCTTACCTCGACAGGTCCTTCCATTGGCTGCCATGGTGTATCCCTGCTCAGGACAAGCACACTGGTAGCTGCCAGGAACGTTCACGCAGCGGAAGGTGCAGAGGATGCCTGCACTCTGTGTGCACTCATCAATGTCTGGGGAGAAAGCACAGGTACCAACGTGGGAAACCAAGCAAAACAGAAAGCTGGGAAGGGCAGCTGTAGAACAAGGAAATTCTCATCAGACACATTCATAATATATTGCTAAACATGAACGTGACCATGGAAGTGTCATGTTGCTGGAGGACTGCTGATGGTGCTTTCTGGAATGCTGGACACAAGACTGCTCCCAGAAATACTGGCTGCAAGTGGTATGGACTCCTGGAAAAGAATAATGAGTCTAGGACACATTCAAGTTTGAAAGAGTCTCTCTGGTACCTCTGTAATTCACAGATTCATAGAATCCCAGAAGGGTTTGGGTTGGAAGGGCCTTGAAATCTCATCCAGTGCCACCCCCTGCCATGGGCAGGGACACCTTTCACTAGCCCAGGTTGCTCCAAGCCCTGTCCAACCTGGCCTTGAACACTTCCAGGGATGGGGCAGCCACAGCTTCTCTGGGCAACCTGTGCCAGTGCCCACAGCAAAGAATTCTTCCAGAATTTCTTGGGGAGCTTCCTTGTGCCAGGAAGAGAGTGGGCTTCTTCACCACTTCTTAAATAGAGACTCTCCAATGTGTCAGTGTCAGTAACTCCAATTAAACAGGTAAACCCCCTCCCTCCTCCATTCTGACCACTCTGCTCCTCATTCACCCACCACGAGCAGCATCAAGAGCAAACCTTCACTCAACCATGGCTGAGTGGAGGCTTTCATTGCTGCAACACAGGTAAACACATCTTCCCACCTGATTTTTCCAATCATAAGCTCTGGCCCCATGAAACTAGTCTGATAACCCCCCTGTTCCATGGTCACCCAGGTGTGTTCCATCCAGTGCACTGTCCAATAGCTGGAGTTCCCTTGAGCAGCTTCAGGGGCAGCTGGAACCCACCATCACCCTCAGGCAGCACCTGCAGCATTCGGTGCTGCAGAGAGTCAGCTCCAGGGAATAAACACATTTACCTTGAGCTGATGGAGCAGCAGCCTTACCTTTACAGGAGTGCCCATCTTCTGCCAGCTGGAAACCTTGCCTGCAGTAGCACTGGTAGGAGCCATAAACGTTGGCACACTCCTGGCTGCAGGGACTGTTATCACATTCATTCACATCTGCAGCCAAAAACAAACCCACACACATGGCCACAGGGGCTCACAACAGTGTCTCCCACCTTTTCCTGCCCCTGAAAACAGCCCCCTTCTGGTCAGAGTGACTAAGGATGGACTGATTTGCCCCAGTTTGTCTCAGCTCCAAGAAGCCTGAGGCTGCCTGTTGCACCTGAATTTCATTTCTATATATGCCAATACATAAAACACACACACATGCAGACATTATGGGTTACAGCTGATCAAAAATATGTAATCATTGCCTTACAAAAATCACGGAGAATTAAACAAATTTCCATTCAATTCAAAATCATTTTTTTAAAGTTTGATTACTACCAAGTTTCATCTTTATCAAAATTTGAATTAAGAGTCTCCTATTCTGTGTTTGTTCTGTTCTCCTTTTCTCCCATCTGAAAGGGAAGCAGAAGTATGTGGGGGAAAGGAAGAAGGGAGAAACTTGTCGATGCTCATCTGACAGTTTGAGTGTTGAGTGCTTGACTGAATATCTGCAAATCTGAGCACACATAAGGTTTACTGTATTTATATTTCACCTCAACTCCTTCTCTAAAGTCCCTGAACTCCCTCTGCAGTTTCTTCTTCACGGAAAAAAGATGTCTGGTACCTTCACAATGTTTGCCATCGTAGGACAAGCGGAACCCAGAGGAGCAAGTGCAGTGGTAGGAGCCAGGGGTGTTCTCACACGTGTGCTGGCACAGGCGCCCCGGGTAGTTCCAGCACTCATTTATATCTGCCAGCACAACAAGCAAATACACAATCAGCTGAGGAACACAAGCATCAATATACAATCAACTGAGCAACACAAGCATCAAACAAGATGCAGGAGGATATTTTTAGAAGTGTCAGAGATTGATTTGCAGCATGTGAAGTGCTGCAAGCTCAGGTGTGAGGCTGACTCTGTGCCCTAATTGGGGTACAGTGGGGATAAAATACAAAGGGCTATCTCGTGGGTCTTAGGAAGAAAGTGGTGAAATCTTCAGACAAATTTCTACAGCAGCTGAAGCACAGCCCTCAGGGAATACTTTGCAGATGACTTTAACTGATGACTTGCAGTTAAACCAAGCCAAGGACACCTGGTCAGAAATCCCAGCACGGAGGGACAGAGCTCTAAGCTGTAGGACATCAGCTTTGGAGGTGATTCCATCATCTTCTGAGGCACTGCATTGCAGAACTAATGCCTGCACACTGCAACAGTGCTGAACAGTGCCTGGAGGGCCGAGGCTCCATCAATCAGTGCTCCCACCTCCCCCGTGCCTCACATACCGATGCAGCTCCTGCTGAAGGCGTCGTACTGAAAGCCCATCCTGCAGTCACAGCGATAAGCCCCGGGGAGGTTGTGGCAGATCTGCCCCTCCCCACAGCGGTGCACACCAGTCTGACACTCATCCACATCTGCACAGACAGACAGAGCAATTTGCTTAAAGGTAGTTTGCTTAAAATCAATGTTTATGAAGAGAGAGGGGAAAAAATTAATAAATAACAGGAATAGAAACTGTTATGGTTGTCCCCTGGACAGAAGAACTACCATCAGCTTTTCCCACTCTGCTCTTCTCCAAGCCAGCTCTGTGTGTCTGTAAGTCAAACCTCTGAAAAGCAGAACATTCTCTTCACAGTGAAACCATCCTGGAACTGCAATGGAGCTCTCCCAGTATATTCTGCATTTCAATGTAAACACTTTTTGATGCTGATCAGACCCTGACATTTAAACACCCCCTGTGATGTTCTGTCTCTCCGTGACTCACATCAAGCCATTTAAAGCAAAACAAGAACCAGCCAGAAACTCTGCTCATCCCTTCAATTAAAGCAATTGCTATTTTCATCTCCAGTTGCCCTTTCAGTCTCGCTCCTGCTGTCTAACTTTTGCTCTTTCCCAATGTTGATCTTTTTTTTCTTCTCTCAATCAACTCCCATTTAGATATTCCTCATGGCCTCTCATCCAAAATCCAATACCAACAAATTAGTTGCTTCTCCACTCACATGCATCACTTCCAATCTCATTTAAACATCCTCAGATGAAGATGAGAGTTTTCAATACACACTGATTTACAAGACTTGCAACATGACTAAATAGCTCATCAGTCTCTAACAAATCCCTCTTGCCATCTGTGACAAGAAGCATCAAAAAGTCTGATTAACCCTCAGAATTGTTTGTTTCTTCACGTATTCAGAGTTCTGCCATTTCCTAAACCATCAGATCCTGCTTTCTTTCCATTATTCACATCTTCTACTAGTTTTACAACCCAAATCTCTGTTCATGTAATAATAATTAGAATGGAAGTCTAAGGCTGGAGGTTCTCCATGCTGCTCTATTTGAAGTCATAAATTTGAGCACTGAATCATTCAAAGGGTTCCTGGGCAGTTCTCCATCCAACAGCAGCTTGGTGAGTGCTCTGGGAAGCAGACCCTTCCTGAGGGACTGATGGGGAAGTGAGAGCAGAAACTTGGATTTGGAGAAGTGGAGATCATATCAACACTGGTGAGGGGCACTGACAAATACTCTGTTCAACATTTCAGCAGATTCCCACCTACACAGTCCCTGCTGGCCCCAGGGTCAGGAATGGCAGGGAATGCCAACCCAAGGAATCTCTGACAGGCTCCAAGATTTCTGCTGAAACACGGACCCCTCATTTTCTTGTAAGATCAGAAGTAGCACCAAAGCAAGGAAGTCTCTAATGCAGATACAAATTTGTAAAGCAGCAGCTTTATTTGTAATGAATTCATGTGTGCAACCACTTCATTAGTTTGTCCAAAATTACATATTCCATTGCCTTTACACTTTAATTAGTTCTAGGGCATTACTCCATCAGAACTGTGCCATATTTCACAATACTTACAGCAGTTTTCAGTTAAGCCTAGGAGGTTGTTTTTAATAACTCATTTACTAAATCAGTAAATCTGAACATTTTAAAGACAGATGAATCCTCTAAACAGAGGAGATGACCCTACGAGTGTCGTTCGGCTGGAGAAACATGTGCAGATGATGTTTTTACTACTGTGAATAAATCTGAATCAGGAATCTAATTAGCTATTGTAATGCCTCAAAGAAACTAGTCTTTATCACAGAGAGGGGAAATTAGGACCATATGCTTTTCCTTTTTCTTCTCTGTTCTCTCTGCCTGCTTAAAAAAAGCCATTCCAAAAAAATACCAAAAGCTATAGACCAGCAAGAGGGACAGAGTGCACACAGCAAAGTCAGAGAAATCATCAATTAACTTTAAATTTGTTTTGCCAAAATCAAGCTAGAGAAGCTTCCTTATACCTGCTCCTTAACAACCTTGTCAACCATTTAAAGCAGAGACAGAGGGCCATCAGTAATCACATTGCATTGTGTTATCTCCTCTTGCTTTAGAGACAGAGATGCTGTCTGAATAATGGCAATCTCCTCCTCTGTCACATATTGGCACATAATCACTCCTTTTTAGGAACAACTGGGGTGAAAAGCTGGATTCTTTCTCTTCCATCAATTTGAAATTTAGGAATGTGATTTGCCCAGTCATTATAGAATCACAGAATTGTTAAGGATGGAAAAGACCTCTAAGATCACCAAGTCCAACTGTCAACCCAGCACCATCCCCATGGTCACCACTAAGCCATGTCCCCAAATGCCAAATCCACATGTTTTCTGAACACTTGCAGGGGTGGTGATTCCTGCACCCTGGGCAGTCTGCAGGGCAGGGCAAAGGGCTGCAGCCAGGACTTCTGTGCTGCTCAGGGATGACAAGGCAGTGAAAACAATGGAGACACTGGCATGGTGGTCCCCTAAAAACAACGTCAGGGTCACCACTCCAGCAGGTGTACCTGGCCCAGCAGGCCTGGCTTAAAAAGGACTGATGGAAAGCAGTTGAAGAATTGTCTTCACAGCAACTGAGAGGGACAGGACCTTTGGACCTACTGAGATACTTCAGGCTGCTCTATAACAGGACAGCAAATAAGACTGCACTACCCCCACATTTATGAAACACCACCCCAGAGCTGTATTAGGAAGGTTTCTCAATTTCCTCAGTTACACACAAGAACTGTCCCTGTCTTCTGCCCCTTCCAAACCTTCCCCGTCTTCTCACTGGCTGAGCATGGTCTGGATAGTCCTGGGGGCAAAACCATGAGGGGACATAGAACACAATGAAGGGCAAAAAGGTGAATACAGAAGTTTCTGGGGAAATAGGGTCTGGTTGTACCACTGTTTTTCACTGCAGTCATGGCCAAATTCATGGCTGCCACCCACCTGCAGCATCACAAAGCATATTTTGTTTATTTGTCATCCTTCCTTTTATTCAAAGGGAAGGTAGGTAGAGATCACTGGGATATCATCACTAACCCAACTGCTGATTTCTCATTTCTTTTTTGTTTCCTCCTCTGTCATTTTTTTTTTTGATTTCCTACCTCGTGTAACTCGGAATACAGGGAACTAGAGAACACCCAGCCAGCCTTGCCTTGGGCACCAAGGACTGAGCTTTCCTTTCCTTCATACCTCCTGTGCTCATTTACAGAACAAATGCTAATAACAGCTAAAATCTGCTATTCTGAGTCAGTAACTCCCTAAATACATTGGAACAAACACAAATCAGGATCAAGCTGCATGCCAGCCTACATGAATATTTCATACATTCCTTCTTCTCTGAATTCTTTTCACAACGTAGGAATTTATCCTAAACATCCCCACAAGTGGATGTAATGGGGAACACCATTCACAGCCCTACGAAGAACATCCACTTGGTGCTACTCCTGTGAGAGCACAGACTCAGTGATTGCTGCAGATCACATCACTCACAGTGAGATGTTGGAACGTACAGCAAGGGATCACGGCTTTGACTGACAGCACGAGCCTAAAAAGTAACTAAATCCCAATTCACTCCAGAATGGAAGCCAGTGACTCCCACCTGCAGTCAGAGCCAGCGCTGCTGAGCGTGCCAGGAGGAATCCAGGGAGCAAACAAATCCCTGAGCTGCTGGGACAGCAAATTCCCATTCCTCAGACACGTCTGGGAATCTGGAGGTAACTCAAAGCCTCTTTTTAGAACTGAAATGTACTTTTTCCTCTGACCCCGAGCCCCCCTTACCGACGCAGCGGGTGCCCTCCTCGTTGGAGTGGTATCCTCTGCTGCAGCTCAGCATGTTCCTCTGGCAGGTGTAAGACCCAACTGTGTTGATGCAGTTGAATCCTGGTTTACAGGGCTCAGGGAGGGACGTGCATTCATTAATATCTGGTGAAAAAAAATGAATTAGAATAGTGAGAGATGCTATTTAACCTTTCTAGCCTGTTTTCTTCCAGCTGCCACTTCTTTTCCTTCATTTCAGTTCCTTGTGCTCCAAAGATAAGGCCGATGAAGGTCTGCTGTGGGAAGACTTTCAAATGCAATAACTTTAAAAGGACAGCAATGTTTACATTAAATTCACAACAGGGTTTGAGGCAAACCACATATACAAGGGTCAATACACCCCCCTTGGACAGGCTGGAAGGCCCAGGAGTTACAAACACACTCTGGTCACACCTACCAACACAGTTTCCCTCAGGATCTTGCAGAAACCCATCCATGCAGCGCTGCTTTGACTCACAGTAGAAGGACCCTTCCGTGTTCTGACAAACAAAGTTGACTTTGCAGCTGTGAGTTCCTCTCTCACACTCATCAATATCTGTTAATCAGACCAGAACAGCAAACTGGGATTAGTTGAGCTCTAACTTTCAGCAATCTTCATGACTAGCTAACTTCCAGAAAGGAAATTAGGAGGCACTATTTAAACCAGACACATGTTGCTAGTGGGAAATCTGAGGTTTAGGTGTGTTTGTTCTTGGACATCCACTTCAGTACAGGCTTCAGGATCTGTCAGGTCCTGCAGCAAATTTGACTCAGGTCCCTACTGCCTCGTTTGCAGCATCTCTTGTAACCCACAAATACCAAAATACCTGCAGTTTTAAAATCCTAAAGATCCACATTAAAACTACAAATCAGGTGCTCATAATAAAATACGTACCACAGCCTTTCCTAAGCAAAATGGGCTCTTATTCCTTATATACCTCAGGAATTCAGGGATGTAGAAACCTGCCTCCTCTGAATTTGATTCTCACAGGTAACCTTGTTTGAAGGGCTGGGATTTCACTGTGTACACACAGACATGCAGTCATGCAGGTGTATATATATATATATATTTATATATATATACTTATGTACACACAAAACCCACTTACCCAGCTCGTAAAACTATGTGGAAAAAATCTAAATGAGGCAGTAGTATTGGTAGCAAATTTTGCTTTTTTTCTTATTCTGCAGCCAGAGCCCACCACAACTTTCTCATTTTTTATTAAGTATATGAAATTATTTCCCAAATTATGTTCACCAACTCAGTGTTTGCTTTCTAGAGACGTTGAAAACACCTCCTGCAGGTTTCGAACTTATAAATTTACACCCAACTACTCTGTGCTGAGTCACTGTGGTGTAGTGGTGTGGCTTCCATCTTCCAGCTGAAGAAATCCCACCTTGGAGCAGACTCAGCTATAAATATGTTCAACATTCAGCTCCTGTGCACATTTTCAAATGGTGCTTTAACACATGGTGGTTCCCAAGGAATATCTTCACTAGAAGATAAAGACAAATGGAAGGAAGTCCCCAGTGGAAGAGTCCCCACTCCTCCAGGCAGACAAGGGGAAAACTGCTGGCACTTCTCCTTCTACTCCAACTCCTCATTAAATGTTAAGGTCATGAGGGAACATCACCAGTCCCTCACAAGGCACTATATTAATAACTCTGCCTACCACAGTTACAGACTGAGACAAAGAAAAATGAGTATTTCATAAACCTCACATTAATAAAATAAGATTCAATAGTTATCTGTAGGCAATTTTGCATAGGGTACTTCTGAAGTTCTAGCCTTTCCTATAAGGCATGAATTTACAGGCTACTTTAAAACAATTTGTAAATCTTACAATCCCCTATTATCTAACTTTAAGACTAGAAAGTAAATTAGATTAGTAATAAATGTTAGAAATGCTCTAGAATGAGACAACTGAACAAGACACAAACAGCCTCTTTAAGCAAACCAAGCTTTACTTATGACAGGGAGATTGCTGGTAATTTCTGGTTTATGGCCTAATGTTCTGGTTCAAAGGCTAAGCTCTTCCCTTGGGCATCTCTTACTCCAGCTGTCAGGGAACTGGGTGAAAATTTAGGAGTAAAGAGCACTGACTGTGCCCTGAAGGCAGGGCAGGGTGTCCTGCACACTCCTGAGCTGCACAGCTGCTGCTGCTGCAAGGGCTGATGTTGCCTGCCCTGTTAGACACCTCCAGATCCAAGATGGGGGGATGCAGAGTAACTTCTTAACCCCACGGCCATTCCAAGCATAACTAAGTGCAGGCAGCCCTCCTGAACACAGGAAGGCTGGGGCTGTCAGCCCGTGAGCCCTCCTGGCTGTGATCCAACAGCAAACAGCACCAGCCCCTCCGGAGCACAGCAGAGCCAGGCAGAGTTAAGGGGAATTCCTCCATCAGGGAATTCTCTCCGTAATGCCTTAAAAACAGGGCAAATCCTAGTTCACAAGGTTTCACCCATTTTCTAAATAATTTATCACTGGAAACCATTTCAAATAAATGAATGTACAGAAGGGGCCTACAGAGCCCAACACTTCCACGATGCCTTTTGTAGCTACAACCCTCATATCCCAGATCAGCAACAACAAAATCCTTTGCAATCCCTTTCCCTTCCTTCCTGTAACAGCTGAAAAACACTTGTCTTACCAACACAGTCCCCATCCTTGAGCTCATAGCCTGGCTGGCAGGTCAGCTCCTGCAGGCACCTGAAGGAGCCCATGGTGTTGACGCAGTGCTCTCTGCGCTGGCAGGTGTGTCTCTCTGTCACACACTCATTAATGTCTGCAACAAAGAGTTAAACCAATCAGTGCCACGCTTTCATCAAGTGATCCCCCTCTTCCTGCTCTTTTGGAAGGAGTCAAAAGCTCCAGTGAAACCATTTCTTCCAAAAGATAGTCAGTGTAGGCTTTGTTACAGCGATGTGATGAGTGACTCAAGGTCTCCAGAGCAACTGAAGAGACACAAATGCCATGGAGATTTCCTTCTCCTCCCCTCTTCCCAAATGGATGGTGCAGGCACTGAGGACAGGGATGGAGAGAACTGATTGAATGCAGGGTGGGCAGAGGATTGATGATCAGCCACTGGGTTACTGGATTTCCTGGGTGGGAACCCCCTGGACAACTGAATGAGGAAGTGATTGATGCTTTTTGCTCCCCACCAGCTTCTCACAGCCCAGGCTATTTATCAGTCCTGCTGCTCTAGGCCAGGCAGGAGCTGCTGGGCTGGAACTGCTGCAAGAGAGGGGTTCTGAAGCTGCCTGCTCTGCTGAGGGGGAGGAATCCAAACACCCATTTCCTAAGAAACACATCATTAGAACTGGATAGCAAGAACACAGGGAGAGAGGAACCCTGGGGGCTCAATCAAGTTGCAAATTCCTATTTCAATCTTTAAAGAGATCTGATTTCAGCAGGTGGAGTAGGGGAAAAGTTCTTTTTTTAAAAAAAAAATCACTTAAACACAAGGTTGCAGAGTGTAGGACAATTAGGAAAGGAATATGAAACACCTTTGATAGGCTGGGCTGAAATCATCTCAAATCCAGGTTTTGCTGATGTTAATAATGAAAGCTGGAACAGCATGATGAGCAAATACCTAGAAGTTACAAAAAGGGGCAGAGACTGGGAAGAGAAACTTTCTTGCCAATCTCCACAAAATCCCCCATGTTCCCATCTCTATATAAAGCTCAGGAGTATTTCCAGAGCTAACAAAAGCCAAATGTGACCAGAGCCATTACCAGTCATCTGGCTGCTCTGTGCATGAAGCTGTTTTCATACTACACAATAAAACAAGTATCGTTTAAATCAGATTTTCATTTTGGCTGTAGAACCTCATTCTCAGATAAGTACATCAGATATATGACTTCTTCCGTGGAGCACGAAAACAGGAAGAGCCATTTTTAAAAGCTTTTTGTCTTACAAAACATCTCAGCTTGTTTTCTACCAAACAGATGAACAGGGGCACCAAGAAATTTCAGTTCCTGATGGACTAACTGGTGACATGCACTGAGCTCTGCAAGGCCACAACATGAACTTGGTGGCATTTCACTTCTCATTTATTTGTGTTTTCCTTTTGTTTGTTATTGCTGTTCTTTCCATGCTGTGGACCTGCTTCCCAAAGCCAGCTGGGTGAAACCCTGCAAGGTCCCCACCATCACCTGGATCTTTCTGCCTGTCCCACAGGATCTTTGATGCTCCCACAGAGGGGCCCCAAAGCTTCTATAGGGTTCTGTCCTCCCAGTGCAGTTTCTATACATCAGGATGAAGAGCAAGGAGCAATATTCTCATGGGTGATCTTGGGGGGGGAAAAACCCACACTCAAAACACACAAACAAAAAATCCCTCACGCTGGGAGAAGAATATCAGGTGCTGTGGTAGAACTTTCCCACCTCACTAGAATTCATTCTTAAATAAATTTGAGATTTATTAATTAATTGTTGAGAAAACCAGCTATGGATAATCCACCTAAAAGCACCCAACACACTGCAAGTCTCTCTACTGGTTGTACCACAGATATGAGATTATCTTTTCTTGCAAACCAGAAAAAGACCTCTCATATAAACAAACTTTGACCACCACACTGCATCTTGAGAACTTCAGTCAGTCCAGCACCATGTCAAAACAGCCACCAGGAGGACAGTGTGCTTGCCAGAAATACAGCCAAAGAAGGGAGGAAGTATTCCACCTGACCAGCAGGTTTTAAACAGGGACAAAGAAGGTTTTTTTCACAGAGGGGAAAAAAAAAATCTAATACAGTTCCATGTTTTGTCTCTATTTTTTGATTCAATTTTCAAACTTCTGAGTACAGGAGAAAACACACAGAACTGGCTGGAACACATCTGAGGAAATTAAAATGATGGAAACTGGCAGATTCCATCCAGAATTTTGTTTTCAGTGGAAGGTTTGGGCACATGGGATACACTGACAAAGCCCAAGGACTGTGAACTGGGTTGAGGTGCAAGGCTTAAACTTGAGCCTTGGGCATGCAAAGCCCTGCCCAGTGACAGGGCATGAACGTCCATCTCTGAGATCAGACCAGCTGCCAGCTCACCAAAGTTCCTTTCCAGTTAATCAAACAAATATGCCTTTTTTTATTCATTTTTCTAATTAAATTCCTAAATGTTCCATAAAATCCAGAGTGCCCATAACCTGTGCCTCTTCCATCCTGGAAGCCAACCCAACAAGTCAGTGAGATGCTTGACAGAGCACTAGGAATAACAGGAGTTCTGTTTGCAGTTTGGAACACAGTTAATTCCAACACTGCACCAGCTGTAGTCTTCATCCAACCCAATTAAGACTGTGAGGTAGGGTAAGATGATATTTACTAAAAAAAACAGGAATAAGAGGAAAAATACTTCAGTACTATATTAAAAACAAGTCACAAGGTTAATTTGAAGAAATCTCCACAGTCATGTGTGTGGCAGTGACTTTATTAACTCCTCATTTTATGTCAGCAAAACACAGGATGAAATGTAATCATGGAATATCTCCTTTTTTCCCAGGAATTGTGGATGCAAACAGCACCATACCCAGGATCCCTGACCCATCTGTTGCTGGCATAAGGAATATCAACATTTACCTCCTGCTATTTGTTTCAATACGTACTTTGACATTAAAAATGAATTTTTACGGCCTTTCTATAAAAATGTGAAATGGAGGCTTTTCTTGTCCTGCCTCTGTAGTTTACCCTTATTTTTTTTCCTCTTCAAATTGCTTCAGCTCTATTTGTTTTATAGGATATATCTGTGTAATTTAGGCATGTGGTTATTTTGCAACACACATCTTGTGCTTAAGCAGAGCCCTAAAGTTCAGGGATAACGTGGCCACTCACTGCTCCTCCTGTCAGGAGGGGAAACTGAGATGGGAGTAGCAAAGAAAGGAGTAAAATAGTCACTGTGTAAGTGGGTGGTGGTAATGACTCTGCCTGAAAGCCACCAGGAAAAGCAATTCCCACTAACAACATCCAGCCTGGCTCTTATCTCTGGGGAACATGGAGCTTTCCAGCCTGCAGACATTTCATTATCTGCTCTCAAAGTGACACAAAGGTGGGGTGTGGGAGCTATTTAAACAGCTGGTGACTCTTCACTGTGCATGGTTGGCTTTCAGGAATCCTGGATATCTGGAATTCCACAGTTTGACTAAAGGAAATTCGACAGATAAAAGGTTAGCAGCTGGTTTGTTGCTGTGCACAGATTGTTCCTCCCCGTCCCTAAAATATGCAAAGAGTAACATCATTAAACCAAGGGGATTCTGCAAACACACCACCAAAGGTTTCCTCGTGGTGCTGAGACAGCTCGAGGTGTGGCACAAAGGCAGTGAGGCTGGAAAAGGACATCTCAGAACGAGACAGTGAACAGAACCCAAACCACAGTGTGCTTGTGGCTTTCCCCTTGGACTAGAAAAGTAGGAAAAAATGTTCAATACTGCAAATGTTCTCCTGGCATCACCCTCAGAGCAGAGCTGGATACCAGCAGGGAGCACACAGGGTGGATCTGTTCAAAAAGAAGGAAGAGAAATTTCCAAGTTTTCTGGATTATTTAAACGGATATCTGTAAAAACACACTTGCATTAGAGGAACACAGAGGTTTGGTATTTAGTGAGGGAGAAAAAGGTCCTTCAGCTTCACAAATGAGAGCTATGTCTTTCCTTTCATTAGCAGTGCCTGAGGTTTATCTTATATCAGTCATAATAAACCTCTATCATAATGTCATGGGAGAGAGGAAGAAAGTGAATAAAGGGAAGCACTTGGCACCTGCCACAGCAGCTCCTGCCAAAGCTGCAGACACACATGCACTGGTTTAGTTTCAAAAGGCTGTGGAAAAGGACAGATCTATCCTTCCTGCAAAGTCCTAGGAAAACATCAGGGAATTAAGTGGCAAGACAGAAGCAGAACACAAGGAGGGGCAGTTCTGCAGCTGCTCACCTGGTGGATGCAGCAGAACACACACCATGGGCAACTCCAGCTCCACCCTCCAGCTCACAGCCTGATTCTGCCTCTGAAAGGCCTCCTGCCTTCCAGTGCTGTGCTCTCAGCCATTTCATTTAAACTAAATCATTTCATTAGTTTTCCACACTTACCAGTATCTCTGATTTCAAAATAAATATTAATAATAATAATAAAAGAATTAAAAATGCAGTTTTGGCTAGTTAAGGAAAACCCAGAAGGTGGTAAATCACATTTCTTCTCCAGACCCTGACACTGCAGAAAATTTTCCTGCTCATGCCCCCAGGCCACATGGTGCTCATTAGTAAGATGAGGTCATAGAGCTTTAAAGACAGAACAAAACCAAAGCTGCTATGGTCAGAAAAACAATGTTCTAAACGTAGGGAGGAGGACAGGGCTGGAAGAAGGCACATGCATCCACACATGACATTATAGTCACAGGCACTGCTGCTTCCAGAAATGACTTGAGGTCTCCAGGTGCTCTGTTTTTCCAGGCAGCACTGCTGCAGCTCAGGTGCCTCCTAAACCAGCCTCTAGAAAAGTGCCCAAAAGAGAAAGTATTTCATAAGCTCAGGCCTTGGCTGCTGGGAAAAAATTAAATCCTCGTAAATACACTTGTAAAGATCGACTGGTTTCTCAGATGGACTCAAACAGCAGGGATGATACAGCAGAATCACAATGCATCTCTGACTTTTACACAAAGAAATCTGTGCCAGAATCAACAAAGGACTGATGTGAAGTTTAGAATCCCATCCCTTTGGAATGGATCTTTTCCACTGCCCGGCCTCACGCAGATCCCTTGAGCTGTGTTTCTGGAGTTTGGTTGCTCCACGGTGCCTGGGAAGCATTGACAGTGTCCAGAGAGATCAATTCTCTGTTTTTTGGAGGATTTATCAGTGCTGCTGTGGTCATCACACCCCTGGCTGTGCACAGAGTTATCTGTAACCCAAGGATGTATCGCTGGGGAAGGAGCCAAACAGCACAGGACTCATGAGGTGGAGTGGCTGAGCAAATGGTGCACATGTGTTTCCACTAACTGGGATTGAAATGTCATATGCAAGGATGGCCTTGGAGCACAAATGGTTTAAATGCATTGCAGAGCATGGAGCATTATGATGTTGTGGTGAAGGGCTGAGACCTCTCGTCTTACCAACACATTTCCTATGCCTGTTGAGAATAAAGCCCTCTGCACACATCCCACTGTGGCTGACACAGGAGAATGATCCCAGTGTGTTCTCACATAATTGTCCGCTGGAACAAGCACCTGTGAGGCACTCATCCAAATCTACACCAGCACGAGGCAGCCAAAAGGGAAAAACAGAGTTCTATTAGAACAATTGCTGAAATGAAACAACAGTTCTTTCGCGCTGGAGATGTCTGAATGAAGTGTGCTGGAGCTTCCACATCAGCACCACGCTGTAATAAATGCAGTGTTACACTGAAAATAGGGCTGGAATAAGGAATAAACCCTCGGAGATCATCTAGTCCTTGCTCACACCCCAACACTTTTGTCATGCCAGAAAGAAACATCCTTGGAACCAGGCAGGCAGTCCCACAGAGCCAGTGCACACTGTTCCAGTGCACCCCTACCATCAAATCCTTGCTGTAATTTAGATTAGAAATGGCCCTTGCTACAATTTAAACTCACTGCTTCCACTGACATTTATAAATTTTTTCATTTCCTGTAGGAAAACGATTGCCTTGAAATGCCCCTTTTGATTCTGACATTAATTAATCAAATTAGCTTCCACCACACTTCAGTAAGCACTGCACTGTGAATATTTCATCTGGTGATATTAAAATCCCATTTTCTTCACAGACTGTCCAGAATTTCATGAAAATGATTTGTAATTCAATAAGACCTGAGATTAAGAGGGATGTGGATCATTTGTGAGCAATTCTGAGCATCGGAAGCTTCTCCCTGCATTTATTGTCACTGCTCCCATACTTAGAGATTTATAATTAAGCTATGCCACAGGGCATTGCTTCTGACCCCCAAATCTTCCCTGGCCAAACATATCCCTTGTCACTACTCCAGCATGTCCACTTAAAATGTCTGTCATGTGAATGGTCATGGTGCAGCTTTGGAATTCACTGCTCATCACTGTGCAAGGCTGAGCTCCAGTGTCAAGTGGAACAACTGGAGCTGGACCAGCTCCCATGGCTGTGGAGCCTCCCTGAGTTCAGGTTTTCAAGGCAAGAGGAAATAAACCCCAACAAAGCAGATGTCGGGCAGAGCTGTGGCTCTGGGGCTCCCCCCCCCCCCAGGACAGCAAACCTGCCTCTGTCCTGCTCACTGCTCCAGAAAGAAAAGCTGCGTGTCCATAGCTGTGCAGACAGGCCCTGGGCAGGAATGGCAGTGGGAAGAGAAACCAAGAGGGTTGAAGAAAAGCCTGGAATGTCAGAGGAAAAGAGCACAAATCCAGGCTTGCCTTCACCTGAAGTCCTCAGGTAGCAGCACACTGTGCTTCAGGAGTTATCTGTGGAGCAGATCTGGGATTCCTTCTGCCAAGTGGTCTCTGCACTGCCACTGCAATTCACAGCACCGACAGCGAGGAACCCTTAGAGGGACACCCAGGGGGGTGAGAGATAAAACCCCCTCTCTGTGGTGAGCACTTACCTTCACAGGACACCCCATCAGCCATGAGGGTGTACCCAGCCAGGCAGGAGCACACGGCCTCTCCTTCCACCACGTTGCAGAGGTGCTTGCAGGGCCCGTTATCTGCACGAGGCACAATTACAAATCACATCAGCACCCACGGCACGGATCAGCTGCAGTTACACACCTCCAGGTCCCAAAAACCACCCCAGCTTAGGCAACAGGGACTGCAGTCTGTAAACAACGTGTCCAACAGCCCTAATCACTGCTGACAGCCCTCCCCTGGCATCCAACCCCCCCGTGCCACCCTCCCTGCACTGCTGCCACGTGCTGCTGCTCCCCTCACACCCATGGGGGTAATGACACTGAAGGTAGAGTGTAGCCCCAAATTCCTTCCTCAGGAATTCCCCTGACAATTCCTCAGCCTTGTGCCAGAGGTAACAAATTAGGGATGTGTGTTGAGATCAGACTGGGGGAGGGATGAGTGGAATTTTATTCCATCTCCAGACATTCCTCACTCCCTGCATGAGTAGTTCCCACCTCCAGCATACCTTTACACTGGTCCTGCTCCTCCTGCAAGGACACCACCAGAATGGGCTGAGAGGGAGAGGCTACTGGAGGGATGGTGGCTTCAGCTTCCAGCCTTGTCACCTGTGCCCTGTCAGGATCTGTAAGGCAAGGGAGGCCGAGAGGATCAGGGACAGCACCATCCCCACTCCACATGGCAAGGGGCCTGGTCCCATCCATCCCACCCCATCATGTCTGGAGGAGGAAACATCATCACGGATTACAGATCAGGGAGCCTGGCTGAAAACAACCTCTGTGGAGTAAAATATTGCAACATCTCAATAAACCAGAAAGTGATAATTTTATTTTTAAAAATCTCTGCTATATTGTAAATACAGTGGCTGTCCTCCATTCAGTGTTTGATGGAAAAGAAATCCAACCCCCAAACAAGCCTTTGACCTTATTCTGTCCATCCTATTTCAACACAGATGAACAGCAGACACTCACCTTTATAAGCACAGGATACTTTGGAACAGCTTTTGTACAGCCAAGGGGAAAACATGACAGCTGCTGTCTGTCATTAAGATTTCCATCAGACAGTAATATTAAAGGTATCAGGAAAAAAAAGAGCTCTGACACATCAATAAGAGTAATCCAGTTTATCAATATCACCAAAACAGAAGCCTAAATCCATAAGGCTGAATTCTTCCATAAGAGGGGGGTGTCCTGTTCCCGCTGACTCAAGTTCAAGTGTCACCCAGAGCAAAGTGTGAGCCACCAAACAGTGACAACATTAAATGACTAAGGGTGATTGCAGTGCAGGTTTGGGGTATGGGAAGAGTGATTTCATGAAAAAAAACCAAAGTCATCACAGGCATACAACGGGCTGTGGCACAGAGACAAACAAAATCACCTGCTTGTGGCACAGCCTGAGTGATTTCCCCAGAAATGCCAGAGATGGGCACACACACAGAGGACAAACGAGAAATAAAAGGCCAGGCAGAGCACATGTGGTTTAGCCAAGTGTAACCAGTGAGGTTCAGAGTCACAGAATCCCAGAATGTGCTGAGTTGGAAGGGACCCACAAGGATCATCCAGTCCAACCCTGGCCCTGCACAGGCCCATCCCCAAGAGTCCCCCCTGTGCCCCAGAGGATCAGCCAAACCCTCCTGGAGCTCTGGCAGCCTTGGGGCTGTGCCCACTGCCCTGGGGAGCCTGGGCAGTGCCCAACCAGCCTCTGGGGGAAGAACCTTTGCCTGAGATCCAACCCAAACCTGCCCTTAATTTGACCCAGGAATGACCCAGCAATGACCAACCCTTCCTCCCTTGTTCCTCCCATCCATCTCAGGTGTCCCACACACAGTCCTCTCCCCTCATCACAAGTTTCTACCCCAGCTGAGCTCTGCAAACCCCTCCACACTTCTTGGCACAGCCACAGGCACCACAGTCCTGCAGATCTGCAAGAACACTGACAGCATAACAGGATGTCTTCACCCAAATCTGCACTTCAGCCCAGCTGGTGGGGGGAGAGGCAAAGCAAAGCCAAACAAAAGCACACACACGCTCCAGGTGAGCCAAATTTTGCAGTGCTAAAATAAGAACCTTTTCTTTTGCCCCTTTTGGATTAGGTTCCTTCCCCAGAACTTTAATTCAAACAACAGAGCAGACAGCTGCCACAGGAACAGTCAAAGACATCACTGATGTAACACCACGTTGAGAAGGATGACATAAATGCTCATTGTTTGGCTTGGGCAGAGAGTTGGGAAGCCTAAGGGATTCTGTCATTGGATGGAAACACTGGTTTTGCTCATTAAATAACTGAAAGCACTTGTAACTAATATAAGGTTTCAACTTTTCGGGTTATCTGATTTGAAATCCTGCCACTGGAGAACTGCAGAAATCAAAACAATTACAATATAATAGACTTTCTTTTCCAGACTTCCACTACACTAGATAAATTTAGAGTTTGTTATCATTGAAAGATGTTAATGATTTTAGATAAAAATCAAAGCTCAGGAAGCAATGCTGATTCTGTCTGAACTGAGTTAAGTTTATCTAAAGGAAACCTAACTGTGAAATACAAAATTTCTCTGAGAAGAAAAGATAATTCATTAAAAACCTTTAGAAATCCTCCTCTGAAAAGTGCAAACACTCTTAATTTGAACATGTGAGATACCACCCTGAGCTCACACCACCAAAACACAGAAATACGGTATAATTAAGTTTCCTAAATTATTATTTTTCTTTATATTTTACGATTTCTACAGAACATGTCCATGCATCAACACCCAAAAATAACCTCACGGAAACCAAAGAGAAACTAAAGAAAAGCTTAGAAGAGCAATGCAGGTGACACAAAGATATTGCCACTCCTGGTGTTCCCTGCCCATCTCACCTGGAGAGCAGCTGGTCCCATCATCCTGCAAGGTGAAATCTGGGAAACACGAGCACTTGTAGGAGCCCACGGTGTTGATGCACAAATGCTGGCAGAGCTCCCCACCATAGAGGAGACACTCATCCAGGTCATCTCCAGGCAGGCTGTTTGACAGTTCAGCTTCACTGCTGATGGACAGAGCTTCATTGTGATCTTCCCTCTCTGAAACTACAACAGAACAGCACCTGTTGGTCCTCTGATGGGTGTTTTTGCAGTGGGACTGGACAGAATGGGGTGTTTGGTCACACAAACTCCAAATAAAGGCAGAGCTACCCAAAACAGTTACTCCAAGGATAGAGCAAATGAACCCATCCTGGAATAACACCACTGTGCTGAAGGTCCACCTTCTCCCTCTGTAAAGCTGGAAGGACAGACATTTTACAGGAGCCACTGAGAAAGAGGGAGACCCTAGGAGGTCACAAGCTCCCCTTTCACACTGACTGCCAACACCCTTGCTATTTGTATTTGAACTAAGGTATCACACTGAAGCCTCATCTGAAATCGGCCCCATCAAAGAACCACACTGAATTTCAAATTTCAGGAGAAAAACGCACCCAGTTCGTTTGGAAACTCTTCTCAACACCACAATTTATTGGCTCCTTCTGTACCAGCATCACCAACAGCCTGGGAGCCACTGAGCAGTGACATGGCTGCCCTATCCACTGCTTTTGAACGCAATCCTTTTCCATCCCCAACCAAGTCTGACAAGACTTTCTGTGACACCAAAATGAATTGTTCAGCGAGTTTCTCAGCCAGTTTTTCTTAAATAAACCTTTTCCCTTGTTGGTGAGAGAAAATACACATTTAGTTAATGAGAACAGAGACCAAAATTGTACCCTCACATATGCAGGAGGTTACCATGAAACTCGTGTGACAGGTGGGTACAGAGTGATGCCAGAGAGAACGTGATCTTGGGCTGAGCCTCATGGCTGTCCAAGCTCCAGATTTGCCACGTTCCCTCTGTCAGGCCTCTCTGGCTGCAGGATTTGCCTCAGCTCTGCAGTATCACTATGTTTATATGTTTAAAGTGTGAAAACACACTTGCAGTGCTCTGGGTCTGTTCCAGAGTGTGCTGTGAGAAAGCTGCCATTCTGTATGAAAATCTACTCCCAGGATGTTTCATTGATATCACAGTCCATGGGATTACTTTGAGTGGACAAAAGTCATCCTTTGCTTTATACAGAATCCTGCAGGATTGCTCCTGCTAAAACACACCTTCAGTTTGCTCCTTATGGAGGGCTGGTGGAGGCCTCTGGACTGTGTGACTCAGGGGGGAAAACCAAACAAAACACCAAACTGCTCAAGAAGGTCTGTTTAAGGATCAGAAACATCCACATATTCTTTGCTTTTTAAAAAGTGTTTTAAGAACAAGTCTATACTTGATCTGAGAGGCAAAGCAACTGTTCACACTACTCCTTCCAGCAGCTCCCTGTATGACCTTGTGACACACAGACCTTGTCTGCGATGTCTCCAGATGACAAATGGGCACTTACCCTTCTCAGGTGTCACTGTTGGCAGAGGCTCAGGATGCCTTTTGATTTCTGGATGGATGAAGTGGTCCCCCCCCTCACAGCAGGACAGCATCACATGGCTGCAGGGGTAGCCCAGGTTGATGTTGGACTCGCAGGTTTTGCCCTCACTCCTCAGTCTCAGGCCCAGATTGCAGCAGTCACAGCATTGCTGCAAGGGAAGGGCACTGTCAGGAACAAGGATCTGGGAGCACTGGCACGGGCTGCCAGGGCAGTGGTGGAGTCACCAACCCTGGAAGTGTTCAAAACACGTGGATGTGGTGCTTGAGGACATGGTTTGATGGTGAACATGGTGGTGCTGGGTTCATGGTTGGACCTGGTGATCTTAGAGGGCTTTTCCAACCTTAACAATTCTCTGATTCTGTGATTTAATACAGCTTCAGGGATGAGCCCCCACACATCTGGAACTGATCTGCACTTCCCTCAGCATCTGGAAAAGCACTTTGGGTTTAGACAGTTGCAAACATCAAAGCTTTACTTGTGCTTGTTTTTGCCATTCTGCACAGAGGGGTCAACTGCAGCCCCAGTAAACACAAAGTCTGGCTGTGCCAGGGATTTCAGCAGCTCCACGTGCAAGGAAGGAGTGGTGCCACAGACCAGCTCCTCCCAGCTCTTGCACAGCCATTGCTTGTGTGTGGTATGAATAAAAATCATAAAGAAAACAACATAGATCTACACCTCTTAGCATTAGAGCTCAAGAAATGGTCAGTTGTTGGACACAGTGTGACAGGAATTGGAAAGAGCCTGCACGGACAGGAGGATCAGCAGCACCTGAGCCCTGTCAGGGTGTCAGGAAAGACTCTTTCTCTCTGCATCACTGCCCTGCAAACCTGCTGTGACCTTTAATTACCCGACTGTGCTGGGCACATCCTGCTGAGACAGTGGCTGGAGGAAGGCCAGGGTGCACTTCCTGAGCTCTTTGCCTTCCTTTTCCTTCCTGAGAGCATCCAAGCAGCAGCAGCTTTGCTGACAGGTTGATGCAATGGGGCCTCCCACCTCTTGCAGTTTGCTCTGCTGCAGGTGGCAGACAAAACCTGTGTGGTGCTTTACTGAGTCCCTTACAGACCCACTGCACAGTCAGGCCACAAACCCACATCAGACAAATGATATCAAATTCAAAAAGATTATACTGTGCATGCAGAGAGGACACCTAACCCAGCAGGGAAGGTGAGGAGCTGGGAGTCTCTGCTGCAGAGACAGCAGGGGTCGTGTGGGAATTGAAGATGCTTGTCTGGATTTAGATTTAAAATGTCCTCTTATATTTATATATTTTAATATATTTTTATATATTTTAATTTTATATATATATATACACATTAAACTGTCAGATTAGTTATAAAATCTTTCCCTCTGCAACTCCTCTGATAATCATCCACTCCAGTAACTCATAGTTTGCAGCTGCACTAAAACAGCCTCTCTGAACCCAGAGAGGTGATTTCAGTCTATCCAAATATTCAGCCAATGCAAAGGATCAGACACAGAAAAGAAGGGAATATTTGAGCTGGCACCAGTGAGCTCTGCCAACAGAAAGTCCAAGGCTGGAGAAGCAGCAAATTGAACTCAGCTCCCACTTCCCAGGAGGGAGATCCCTCACCTGAGGAGGGCAAGTAAGAGAAGGTTGGATGAGCATGGAAATGGGAAGGAATCATGTTTCATGATTAGCAATCCCAGGGGGGCATTCCCATTAAATCAGAGCCTGTCTCCCGTAGGGAAATGGGAAACTCATCCACTGACAGCTCAATCTGCAGAAACTCCTCCACAAAGTCACTTTTTTCAAGACTCAAATGCTGCAGCTTTGGGGTTTCTTGAGCATTTCACACACAATACACAGCGTTGCATGTTCAGCCAATACTTATGGCTACAGCTCATAGTTTATGTCCCTGCTTCCTAACCCGAAAAATCCCCAAATATCATAACTAGCAGACGTTACTCACGTTTGCAAATATGCACAGCCAGAAGGAGTTGCCTTTACGTGCTCAAATACATGTTTGTGAAAAATTTACAGTACAGGTCCTGAGGAAGATGAATTATTTTGGACACTGAATAGCTAAATCATCTTTCCAAAAGAAGTATTAAAAAAAACCCAACCTAGCTATAATGGATTGTGGTCGTGCTAGAAAAGGGAAAATTCCTGTTTCCTTCCTCCCCAAATCCAGAATCCTCAAATTCAAAATTTTATGGAAAGAAAATCCTATTTTCTGTAATTTTTTTAAATTTTGTCTCCATTTTTTTTCAGCTTCAATATGCCAAACAGAAGTTCAGGGTAGTACGTGTTTTTACCGAAATACTATAAAATACGTAATATTTGCCTTGAAGAACCTGGCTTCTTTCAGTCATAGTTTGATTCCCAATTTATCCCATGTGCAGGTGTGATAGGGAGTGTTAAATCAGTCAGACACCTTTAGGTTCACATATTTTCCAGGTGAACAAAACAGTCTCATTTTCCAGTGGAAAAACTTGTTCGCTGAAAAGTTCCTTCTACAATGCAAAAACTTGAATGCCTTGATCTTCTATCAACTACTTTCTGAACTCCACAGGAATTCTACGGCTGATTTAATAGAAAATGCAACTATTTTAACCTTCCAGTTGAGAAACATACCTTGAGAACCATTCTGTGGTTCACACCTTTCTATGTTCCTCTCACAACTATCTTTGCTGGAATCCAGCATAACTGGATTTGCTATGGTGGTATCTCCATCCTCTAGGAAAAAATCCCTAAGCATGTATTTTTTGTATAAAATGAGAAAACCTTTCTTGTGATACAAAGCATTACAAACCTTTGTATGTTTGATTATATAAAGTTTGATTATTTTCTATTACAATAGTACATATTGTAATACAAAAGAAACACGAAGTCTCAACAGTCTTGATGTTTATTGATTTAAATTCTTTTTTTTCAAGCAGTAGCTGCAATGACTGAAGAGCTGAATGGGCTAAATAGGTGAGCAAAGCTGTTCCTTCAGTAATTTTACCATTTCAAATGGTTTCTCTTGAAGGAAAACATCCCACTGGAACTGGCATGAGGAACCATTCCACAAAAGTATTTTGTCCCGTGTTTCAATTCAGACAGGAATGAGGGAGTTATCCCTCTCCACCTCTTCCTGAGGAATGACTGTGTAATCAGACTTACTCTACAGCTTGGGCTCTGCCTGGCATGCAAACAACCCCTGGGGAAAACCTAAGAATAACAATTCTCTCCCATTTCAAACATTAATGTCTTCTCCCAAATGCACAAATTCTCTTTTTACTCTACTGATACACTGCAGACCCGAATAAACAGTAGTTTTGAAAATGAGAAATTGGTATAGCTAATTAAACTTCAAACTCCCCAGTAGATGGCCATGGATTTTGCCTCCCCAGTGAACAATTATCTGGGAGAATCACGGATGTACCAGGACAGACAGAACTAATCAGGTTCCTGCTGAGATGACGGAAGCTGCATTTAAGCTCAGCTCTAGCCCTGGACATTATTATCAGAGGGAAACGAATTCCAGAATGCACCCTTCTGGTGGAAACAAGACAAGTGAGCAAGCAAGCTGCTGAATCTTCAAACTGGTTTAAATTGGTTGGGCTCCAGTGACTCTCATAAAGCAAATCTCATTTATCCAAGTGGGGGCTGTGGCTCAGGGTTTGTGATTTGCAGTGTCGGTTAATGGGCTGCCTTTATTTATGAGCAAAAGCTTCCATCACCATCTAAACGCTTGCTCCTCTAGTCCATCATTGTGTTTAACTGAAAAATGGGGTCACAATTCAACATTGGGGCCAAGTAAACTGTCCAGTAATGGGTTTTGCATTATATCTTCAATTAAGTTTTGCCCCATCATTTTCTAAATTCTTTCACACAATAGATATAGAAACTAAAACGGACTTTTCAGCTACTTCCAAAGTGAGGAAGCAAAAGTAATACAGCCAGTTAAGTCTACAGAATGGAGATGGAAAGAATTCAAAACAACATTACTGTAAAATTTTAAAAGGGGTTGTAAACCTTAATGCAAACAACCTAATGTCCCTAATGTCCCTGTTACATTCCTGCAACCTTATCTTTTCTGTGCTCCATAATAATGCATGAAACATTTCCTGCTAAATGCAGGCAATGAGGACACCTCATGCTGGGAACAAAACCTGCAGAAGCAGCAGAGCAGCTCACCTTGTAGGATGACCCCGTGCAGGGGTCACCGTCCTCGGGGCCGCACGTGTCGCCCTCCTTGGCAGCGACCATCCCGGCCAGGCAGCTGTTCTCCCGCACCGTGGACACACAGCACTGCTTCTGGGCAATCCTGCAGAGGGGCAGGGGGAACACAACAGCATGGCATGCAACCCCCCCGAGCTATTGGATTCATAACACATTCCACAGATTCGGTCTCTCCGACAGCTGGGGCAGAGGAGGGGCAGGGACTGAGCTCTGCTCTGGGGGGACCAGGGACAGCAGCCAGGGAATGGCTGGAGCTGTGCCAGGGCAGGCTCAGGTTGGGTCTCAGGCAAAGGTTCTTCCCCAGAGGGTGGTTGGGCACTGCCCAGGCTCCCCAGGGCAGTGGGCACAGCCCCAAGGCTGCCAGAGCTCCAGGAGGGTTTGGATGATCCTCTGGGGCACAGGGGGTGACTCTTGGGGACAGGCCTGTGCAGGGCCAGGGGTTGGACTGGATGATCCTTGTGGGTCCCTGCCAACTTGACATATTCTGGGATCCTGTGTGATGTGTAAATACCCCCCTGGCCCCAGCTTGTCCCAGCCATGGTGTGTCACAGGATCAGGGCAGGGCCCGTCCCTGTGCTGGCACTGCTGAGGCCCCTCAGTCCTGGGGGCAGTTCTGGGCCCCTCAGGAGAAGACAGACATTGAGGGGCTGGAGTGTTTCCAGACAAGGGAACGGAGCTGGGAAGGGGCTGGAGCAGCAGGAGGGGCTGAGGGAGCTGGGGGGGCTCAGCCTGGAGCAAAGGAGGCTCAGGAGGGACCTTCTGGCTCTGCAACCCCCTGACAGGAGGGGGGAGCTGGGGGGGTCAGGCTCTGCTCCCAGGGAATGAGGGACAGGAGGAGAGGGAACGGCCTCCAGCTGTGCCAGGGGAGATTTAGCTTGGATATTGGGAAAATTTCTTCATGGTTGTCCAGTACTGGAACAGGTTGCCCAAGGAAGCAATGGAGTCCTCATCCCTGGAAGTGTTCAAAAAACATGTAGATGTGGTGTCTGGGGACGTGGTTTAGTGGTGGACCTGACAGTGCTGGGTGACCAGGTGGACTCAATGATCTTCTCCAGCCTTAATGTTTCTCTGATTCTATGAATATTAGTATAATACAGAGAGTACCACTGGCCTTTGCAGGAGGTATTTTATTTCTAGTAAAAGGTGTCCTGATAAATACTCAAGAAGTCTTGTGTTTAGGTCACTGTCTCTCAAAGTCTCGTCACCAATATCCCTCACAACTCATCATTGTTTGTGTGACAGTCCCTCTTCCCCGTGTTTTGTTTCTCAGAAGTATTTTGGAAGGTTTCAGAAATCAAAAACCAGACAGAAATCTTGTTCCATGTAAAGTGGGGAAAGGGAAACACACCTGTACACATTTCCTCCTTCACCAGCCAGAGGGCTGAAGCCCTGGACAGGGCTGGAGGAAAGCATCACATCACAACACACCTATGAACTCTCCTTTATACCACCACAGAGTGTAACCCAGAACTAACTTTGGTTATCAAAGAGAAGGTTATGGGTGACTAGATCACTGTATATGAAATACTTTGGGAATGTACATTTCCTAGACATGGTGCTTCAAATCAAACATTTTAACAAGTTTCAGTGAAGGCTGACATGATGAAAAATCTAAATGTCAAATTCCTAAATGGATTTTAATAGATATTCATTGAAATACTAAAATACTCTTCCCTGCTATTTTTAAGTCTATAGTGGATTCCTCTCATTCAAAGAGGGATGTGCCTCCTTCATACATATACAGAAGGGCAGATAAATCCCGTAGTGCCTTTGGCTTTACTCTGTAGCATCATTTAGGTTAGAAAAGATCTGCAGGATTAATTGCCAACTGGAGAAATACAAATTTTTGAGCAATGAATTATTACTACCCAAATGTATTCAGGTATCAGTAATATAACTGTTATTTCTTACAGAAGACATCCAAACTTTCATTACAATTTTAAAAAAAAAGACCACCAAAACCAATCAAAAGTTATTATTGTCTGTAGAAATGACAAAATGCTATTAGAAGCATTTTTTATATGCTCAAAGTATTTACTGTATTTAAACACTGAAATCTCTATAGATTCATGTTCTCTGAAATGTGACATTTAGCCATGAGAAATTCCTGGGGCACTGGAGTGTCATTAGCCACATTTTAGTATTTTTTACCTATCAGCACAACTCAGTTTCAGTTCCTCTAACCCCAGAAAATGAACTGGGAACAGCGTTAACCACATTCTCTTGGCTTTTATCTTCTTCACAAACCTACTCTATGCAGAGCAGATAAGTCAGTTTGTGGTTCAAAGAAGCTTCAGACCATTTCTGCTTCGGGAAAGAGTTAACAAGTTAAGATCAGTGAATGTTTTAAACTGCTGTGAGTCTCTAAATGGGACATGGTGTCAGCAAAAAGCAGGATCTGTGCTGGGACAGCTGATGCAAAAGCCACTCAGATAAACATTGCTCTGTTATGATAAAACATAACAATTATAAGATAAAAATTACTATGCTGGGTCAGATGAGATTTCATCAAGCCTAACATCCTATTTCTGACACAGCCTGGGAGTACAAGCTCTGGGAGTATTTTTACATCTGACTATCAATTGATTATCTTAAGATTTCCTGTTCTTGCTTTAGTTTAAGTTCAGTCATCAAGTTATTGCCCATGATCTCATTTAGGCAGTCCCAGTGTCCATCCTGCAGCCCATGTTGTGGTCTCTAAACAGAGATGAGCCAAGTTGGGACATGAATGTCCAGAGACATCAAGATACATCAACAAGCAGCTTTAACACTGAAGTTTTTTGCCACCTGAACATCCCAAGAGGGCATTTGGAAACAACCTCGGTCTGCAACCTCCATATGAACAACTTACAGCAGACACAGGGGAGGCTTCACTTCTCTGTGGGGACCAGGGACAAGACTCAAGGGAATGGCTGGAGCTGTGTCAGGGCAGGCTCAGGTTGGATCTCAGCCAAAGGTTCTTCCCCCAGAGGTTGTTTGGGCACTGCCCAGGCTCCCCAGGGCAGTGGGCACAGCCCCAAGGCTGCCAGAGCTCCAGGAGGGTTTGGCTGATCCTCTGGGGCACAGGGGGTGACTCTTGGGGATGGGCCTGGGCAGGGCCAGGGTTGGACTGGATGATCCTTGTGAGTTCCTTCCAACTCAGTATATTCTGGGATTCTGTGACTTGTTTGCCTCAGCCGAGAACATCAACCCTTTGTCATGGTGATTGTCACTTGTAAACCCAAATATTTATGGAAAACTATCCTGGCAGAATAGGAGCTAATTTTTAAAATTCGTATCTATCTTCTATCCCCACCCCTTTGAATTGTCCAAGGCCAGGTTGGACGGGGCTTGGAACAATCTGGGATAGAGGAAGGTGTCCCTGCCCATGGCAGGGGGTGGAATGAAGCTTTAAGGTCCCTTCCAACCCAAACCAGTCTGGGATTCCATGACTTTACTTTTTACCATCTTTAGATACTGAGTGGAGTCAGAGGCAGACTCTTGGGAGCCTGCCTTTCTTCCAGCACCCAGATGGTGCCCAGGGGCTGGATCAGTGCAGGGTCACCAGCCCTGCACACTGGCACATCTCCCAGTGGCAGCACCAAGTTTTTGTCCTTGCTGTCAAGGTTCTGAGGCCACATATTTGAATATTTTTTACATTAAATATTTTCTTTAGACGTAACATTTATAGGTGGGTTTAAATCTTTAAAACAGGGACACAACTGAAATTTTAGAAGTAAAACAGCTGAACCCCTGATCTCTTATTCCTTTAAATCCCAATAGATTCACAGGGACCGAAACATTTAGGATCTGGCTTTTTCATCTAAACACAGCCTCAGATGTGCAGGTGCAACTCATTAATGTATTGGATTTGCACCTACTTAGGCCAAGGCTGGAATTTTTTAATCTGTCTTGACTTCACAGACAGTTGGTATGTGTCAGTTATGTCATGCCAGACCCCAGTGAGGAGGATTTTCATCTCTCAGTGACTTCAGAAAGGTGTAATGATGCAAAATTTGATAAAAGTGATTATGCCAAACCTTTTCAATGCTGTAAATGGTGGGATCACTCCTTGAGAATCTGAGTCTGGAGTAACTTTGCCTTCATCCCTCCCTAAGGCCTGTTTCAGACTAGGGGGAAGGGAACTGGATGAACTGCAGCCAGTGGAATATTGAATCCATGTTACTCTGCACCCACTCTCCTCCTGCTGTGCAGGAGCCACTGGCAGCATTATCAGGGTGCAAGATCCCCCCTCCAGCTGAACACAGGCACCACAACCAGGGGCCATTCACCCTGGGCAATAAACAAACCATTTCATGACACAATTAACAACTGATCACTGCATTTAGCACTTGCCAAAGGGAAGCCAAGCTCTGCCCTTCTATTTATCTGCCCTTCTATTTATCTCCACAAATGTGCTGAGAACGGGAAAAAAAATTCCTCTGCTCACATAAGAGAGGAAAAAATCTTAACAGACTTTGTTTAGAATAGATTTTAGGGAAATGGAGGGGGAAATCCTTCTTTCTAATTTGCCATGACATATTGCCAGTCTACTAACAAATCAGACCATGAATGAAACTGTTCTCAGCCTCCTGGACATCCCACGAATTATATTTGATTTCTCCTAAAGGACTGTTCTTTATTTTAACCCAAAAATGTTGGGGGTTGCCTCACATACCTGCAAATGTCACCATCCATTCCACTCACAGGGATTTCTGTGCACTCCCCATTGTCTATGGCCCACTGTTGTCCAGCTCCACAGCAGCTCTCAATCAATTCCTTCGTGGAACCTGTGTAAAACATACACCCAGAATTTTTTATATGGAATGGATTGGGTTTAGCTCTGTTTTCTTAACTGAGGAGATCTTAAAAATTGCAATAGTTCGGCCTTTTATTTTCCTTTATTTCCACATTTCATTTGGTTAAATGCAAAAAAAGAAACAGGCAACTGATATCTGAAGCATCTTGATATAATTGATCACCTGGTGATGCCTTTCAGGAAGGAACAGCAGAAGGAAATTAGAGTTTTAAATACAATAAAAGACATAACTGGTTTAAAGAAAACTCCACATTTGACATCTCTGAACAAAAAAACCTGTGAAAAATCATGCTTGGTTACCAAGGTGTAACAGTGCCTTCACTATCACAGGCTGGATTAGCTGACAGTGTCCCAGCCCTGGAGGGTTCAGCTGGTTTAAAACCATAATGAAAAGGGTTTGAGGACATAACTCTGCCTCTGCTAATGAGCTCCTGTAAAACACTGGCACCAGGATGCAGTGAAAGAGATGGATGTGAAGAATTGCTGCACTAGTTTTCACATTTTTCCTTGTGGACTTCCAGCTAAGATGTAAATTTGCAGGTTACAGTGAAATATGACTTAATTTGCAATATCCTACATCCCTGCTGTATAGAACAGACTAGGGCACATCACACTGGGCAGGAACAGTGTGTTTTGGAGCCTGGACAGCAGTTTGCTTCATGGAGGGACACTTGCCATGCTCTGGGGTGCAAACACCAGGCACTGCCACAAACCAGCTGAGGAGATGCCAGTGCCAGGATCCTGCTCCATGGGGCACCGTGCTGGAATATTGGGAGCATCCCTCCTGCAACTGCTCCTGCTCTGGGAGCAGTTACACAGGTACCAGGAGAGAAAATGATTCAGAGATGCCTTTTAGAGGGACATGAGGTGCATTAGAAGTGCTTGGGGGCTGTGATTTGGATCTACATGTCAATGCACACAACAAAGATGGTCTATCAGGCTCCCCAGAGCCCATGGTCCTGTGCTGAGCTGGAACAGCACCTGCTCTCTCCCTTGGCCCATCAGAAGTGCTCCATTTCTTCTTAAAGCCATTTACATGGATATGAGGAACATTTTGTGCCTTTTAGTCGTATTTCCAGGCCAGTCTCTGGCATGGTTTGGTGTTACCAATGAGAAGGAAGAAAAGAAAACCAGCCCCAAGTTGATGGAGACGTGTGGGTGCAATGGACCTTGGGCAGCCCCAGAGCTGAGCTCTCCTTGCCCAAGGCCCAGCACTCCACACTGCAGAACTATGTCTTCTCAAGAATCTATAGCCAGTTTTTACATCCATCACTTCTGATCGATCTAAATCACTTCTGCTTGCAGCAGGAGGGTGGAACCACTTTCTCTGCAAGGATTTTAGGAATAATGCCACTGCTGCAAAGGGCCCTGTTGAAGGTGCAATGCTCTCCTGACAAGACTTAGCAACAAAACTTAACAACTGGGAGCCAAGCTCTGCTGGTCTGGCCTTGCACAGTTTTGATCTGTCAGGGAACTGCATTCAGGTTGGCAGGAGGACTCTGCAGTCACCCCATGTGAACCCAGACCCAAACCCTCTCCTCCTGTGTGTTAACAGCAGCATTGCAGGGCAGCTCCTCCAACACGTCCGGTTTGATGAAAAAGTTCACTGAATCCTTACTTTTGTCTGCATTTGGTACATGGTACCAAGTCAAATAATATTTCCTTGCAAAACTGTAACACTTAACTATAAGTGAGGCATTTTTAGAAACGGCTGCATCTCAAAACAGCTGGGCCTCCACACTGCACAATTCAGAAAAACACAGACAACCGAAGTTACCAAACATTTCTGCTGCCACAGAACAGCAGAGTGGGGAAGGCTGGAAGGGACCACAGTGGGCCACGCACTTAAAACAGTTATTCTGTGTTTCAAACAACAGTAGGAGCACTTTTTATAGTGTGTTGTAAAGCTAAGCAGTCATTAGATAGCAAGAGTAAGAAGTTTAAGTGAAGTGCTGTCTGCAATGTTAAAAAATATTGGCACTTACACAAATGGTTTGTGTTGGAAGCAATGCTATATCTCCTCTCCTTCCAACCCCCTGCCATGGGAAGGGACACATTCCACCAGACCAGGTTGCTCCAAGCTCTCCCCCACCCTAAATAATACAAACCTCCCCAGCAGAAGGCTATTCCTTTGCACTTTCAACTGTTTATTTAGGAGAAAATATTAGATTTTGGAAACCAAAAAGGTCTCCCCAGTGTGGCTTGCTTTACAAAAAGCAACTAGGAAAAAGAAAGCCATACAAAATACAACGTTTGTGATCGTCAAATGCTCACAAGAAAACAACTTTAAGGAACTATATCTAAGAGAAAACAGACCGTGTAAAATGCCTTCCCCATCAGTGACTGGGATGGATGGGTGAGGGAGGAGGTTACACAGTGACAAGACACAGCTGCAGCCACCAGTGCCCAAACCAGTGGCACCTGTGGCCTGGAGCATCAGCCCCTGCACCCCCTTCACCCCCTGTGCCCCCCTCAGCCCTCGCCCTTCCCTGGGTTTTGTTGGTGCATCAATAAACAGGAACCCCAAAAACACAGTCACAGTTTGATACTTGTCACTAAGAAGGAGAGTTGGGCTTCCAGGACCAAAGTCAACCTTTTTGTGCCCACAGACTCCAGCTGTGCCAGGGAATGCTGTGGGAAAATCCCAGCTCTGCAAGGGCTGCAGAGAGATCCTGGCACACAGAGCTTCATCTCCACCCTGACTCCTCACTCACATGCTGAAAACAATTAGGAGCAAGGGGGCAGGAGGGTGCACTTCACCCTATGGTGAATTTTATTTGTTCTCTCTGGGGAGAAACAACCCAGCCCCGAGTTGAGGCCACTTTGCTCTCCCCCCGTGTGGCCCAGCTGAGGGGTTTGGTGACCAAAGCCATTCCCGTCCCCCTACACTGCCCCAGTCAGCTCACAGCCCAGGGCACCAGAACAAACTGCAGCCGGCCTGCAGTCCATGCAATGCCTCCACTTCACACAGCACGTTAACAGTGGGAAATACTCCTGAGCCCTGAGAGCTGCCTCAGGGGTCAGAGCTGCTCTGTGACACGAGAGCATTGATCTGATCAGCTAAACTGGCAGGAAATACACCCAGCACCAGGTAATTACAAAACATTGCTAGAAAATACTTCTTTAACATCATTTTAATTCACTCCCTTGGTGGAAACTCCACTCATTTAACCAAGCACTGAAATACATTTGTTGCTCTTGCTAGAACACAAGAATAGAGCAGAATTTACTTATCTATATTGCAGTAATCTACATGATTTATAACGCAAATAAAAGTGAGTTACTCATTCCTCACTAAAGATTCAATATCAGATTGCTCTCCTGAAGAGTCACACTATTAAACAGTCATATTTGCAAAATATATTCCCTTTTGTTGTGATCTTATGAATAATTAAATCCTGAATGAAGTTATAATAAAATGATCAAATACTGCATTTTATCTCAACCAGGAATTAAAAAAAAAAACCTAAAAAATAACTTATAATAGGGCTCACAGTCATTAGCATGGATTTGTAATATTTTAATTCTCCATTAGCAAAACCAAATATATACAACTGGATACATGCACAGGACTGAAGATCACAGAGCTTCTATTCTGGATGGAGACTTTCACCTCTATGTATAACAGACTTTGAAATACTTAAACATTCAAACAGAGCTTTGTTTATTCAGGTATTCCATTATATTAAGCAGATTTAGAAGCAGATTTGCATCTGCTCAGGGAAAACAAAGTAATTTTATTTGAGAACTCCATAATCCTGATTTTTTTTAACACTGTATGACTCTGATACTTCATAGAGTAATTTCACAAGACACCTGTTAATAGATAATTTGCTATTTATAGATTTCTTGACTAGGGAAAAAAAAGCCTAATTTCTGTCAGGCTGTATCACAGAACAACAGCACTTCTTGCAATTCAGGAACTCATTCCTGCAATTATCACTTTGAAGATATGAACTGAAGAACATTCTGGCCTAATCTCCAAAATTGGTGTATCCTCTTTTTTAAAAAACATTGAGAAATTAATTCAAATATTTAGAAAAACCTTTTCCTCTCAGAGAATTTTAACTCCTCCCCGTCTGTGCTTTAAAGTTGTCTCTATGCCTGATCCAATCCATGGCCTCCCACCCACTCAGGGACACATCCAGGTTTTCCATAGTCCTATGACAGACATGCTGCTAAACAGGAATTTCAGCTTTCAGCTGGAAAAATCTGCTATGGGTTTAAAATGTGTGTATTTTATAAAGCATAGGTTAAGCTCAAACATCATACAGAAGAAAACACACAATTAAAGGCTACTAAATTGTTTCCCCCCACTGACATAGTGACCCATAGGTTTGTTAGAGCAACAAAGGAGACAAAAGGGATTTTCAAAAACCTTCCTCCCCTTTTTCCCTCACAGTGTTCACAAACTATGTTTCAAGAGTGATAAAACATCAGCTCTAGAAGGCCAAGAAGGGATAGCATATCTCAGTTTCTTGCCAGAGCTTTTTTCACACCGAAGTTTCCCTGACTTGAGCTTCACCTGAGTTTCCACTCAGACCATTTCAGTGTTGGACACCTCCAATTTCGTTGCTTCCTCGGGTTTGCAGCTCTCCAGAACATTTGCATGGACTGAATAACTCCCTCTGTGCAGATCCCATTCTCTGAGCACACACACTGAGCTGTCAGGCAGCTCTGCCCACCACTCTGGTCCAAGGGTTTCTTTTGTCTATGGAGAACAGACAGACCTTAAAACTTGAGCACTCCCCTGGGAGGGTGGGGAGGCCCTGGCACAGATTGCCCAGAGAAGCTGTGGCTGCCCCATCCCTGGAAGTGTCCAAGGCCAGGTTGGACGGGGCTTGGAGCAACCTGGGCTAGTGGAAGGTGTCCCTGCCCATGGAACCAGATGGGCTTTAAAAGTCTTTTCCCACTCAAACTATTCTGTGATTCCTCACATTATGGGAGCAGTGAACACTGACCCACCACAGT